AGCTTCCCGAGCCCCTGGCACGGAGCATCCCAGATTCCGGGCGTGGGGCATCCCGGGCCAGAGCATCCCAGACTGCCCGGCTAGGAGCATCCCAAGTTCCCAGCTTGGAGCATCCCGGGTCAGAGCATCCTGGACTGCACCATCCCGCTGTTCCTCTCCTTCACGACGGGTTCCTGGAGACACCAAGGGTTAGAGGGGCACCAGGTACGTGCCCAGAGGGATGCTTGGGATGGAAGGACACGTCCCCCACAAGTGCTGCAGGAACGGGCACAGCAGGGACCCTGCAGCAGGCGCTGCTGATCCCTCATCACCGGAGCCTCCTGGCACCCCTGGGCAGAGCTCCTGCTCCAGGTGTGGTCGGGATGAGCTTGATCCTCAGCCCAGGCTCACAGGGATCTGCTCATCCACCTCAGCATCATCCCAGCTCCATGGCCACAGCCTGTCCCTAACTCACAGGGAAACCGCCCTGTGCTGCTGGAGAGAACAAGCCCAAGGCTTCGGTGAATTATTTAGCAGCGGGCTCGGAGCTCCTGGCACCGGCGCAGGCCTGGGCGAGCGTGGGGCATTCGGAAGCACACGCAGAAAATGCCCCAATCCCTGCAGGACGCTGCAGGGAGGACCCGTCCGGGCCGCAGAGGATGCGGCAGCCAAAGCGCCGCTCGGGCCCCGCTCCTGCCAGCGCCGGGCACCAAGGTGCCCCCGATGAGCCCGTCCTGCGGAGCCGCCGCAGCCCGACCTTGGCACCCGGCTGCCGTCGGGCTCAGCGCATTCGCCCCGGCCGCCGGCTTGGGTTTCACGGGGCCATTGATCAGAGCCCGCGGCAGCGGAGGGGCAGAGTTAAGGTGACCCGAAAAGGCCTCCAGCCAAGGCGGGCGCCTGCTTAAAACTAGTAGTGTGGGGAGGTTGGGGAGTCGTTTTATTTATTTTGCTTCTTCGCAGTGAGTCTGGGAAAGCCCAAGCCGGGACTTGCCAGGGGAGCAGTGGAGGAAGCTCTTAAGCACACAAGAATTGCTGTTTTTTTTTTAAACAAAGACATAATTTCTCTAAATGGTTTGTTGGAATTGGCGAGCTGCTAATAAATTAGCGAAGAAAGAGCCCTACCGAGTCCCTCCGACAGCCCTGGTGAAATTCTACACTTTCTTCCCTCATGCAGGTTTTGTTTTTGGGAATGGGACCTGGGGCATCCCCCCATGAATGAGGGAAACTGCGGGATTGCTGCCGCTCTCGGGGCCCAAGACCCCGGTCCCCAGCGAGGCCGGTCCCCAGCGAGGCCGGTCACATCCTTTGGCTCCATCCAGGCCCTGACGAGGAGGATTTTGGAGGCCAGGCACAAGAGAGCGGGGCAGCCTGTGTGCCTGGAGCCTGCCGCCCTCCTGGGATTGCAGCTCAAATTCCTGGCACAGCCCAAGGCCGGGATTTGCATCTACGGGATTTCCAGTAAGTTTGGAGCCGTGGTATGCAGCTGCAAAGCTGCCGGCCGGGGCGGGGGCCAGGCGGGAGCCGCGCGGCTCC